GAACAAGGATCATCTTCATGAAGACACCATGAGGAGGTGAAACCCTTAAAAGAAAAACTAAAAACCACACAAGGGAAGATGAGGGGAAAAAAATCAAAAACATCATATTATATCAACACTGACACATTATGGTGTTTTAAAAACCTCTGCATAGAGCAGATTTATTAGCCAGAAGAGTAAGTGAGTTTAGGGGTGTGTGTATCTGAAGCCATGAGTGTTGTATGCTTGTGTGAATATCTGAAGAATGAGCCCAAAGAACCCAGTCCCCAAAGCAGCGCAGCCATAGTCCAGAATATGAATGTTAACTGTTCATTCTGTGCAGCCCCCAGCCTGCTCCAGGAACCAGATCAAAGACGGGTGTGGGGCAGAGCCTCAGTCGACGTATACATCCAGGAAGAATTTAGTCCAACAGCTCTTCAAGGCCATTGTAGGGGAGAGACAAATCTGTAATCAGTTGTTTTGGAAACAGAAGAGCCAAGCAGAAAATTACAATTTTCCATCTGCTTTAATGTCCGCTGGTACATCTCAATGTGGCAAATCCACTCAGACAAATAATGTGGACAAATTCCACCAAGCCGATCCATCAGCTTCTCCAAGATCAATTCCATCTGGCCAGCAAAGTCCAGGAACCACAGCCGGCCCGCGACCCTCAGCAGAACCGCTTGCTGATCGAGTCCAGCTCACTCAAGGCAAATGTCCGAGTGCTGATAGAACGGCAATCCTTCWTATTGGTCAGGCAGCCAGGAAATGAACAGCCACAGACATTGTTTTGTAGAACACCAGGAGACCACCAAGCCAATCTGCAGAATCCAGTGATCAGAGTCCAAACATATATCCAGAACAGAGAAGAATAGAAGTCCCACCTTCGACATGTCCTCCCATGGAAGAAGAAAAAACTTTGTTCCAAAAAATGTATTAAGAGACCAGCTAACCAAGTCCATAAAAATATAAATATCCATAATTTCTGGTTTCGGATGAAGACTGTAAAGAAGGCTCCAAGCAGCAAAGCAGGGAAGATAATGAAGGGCAGGAGAGAAGGAAAAAGCATCCTACTCCTTCGAGAGCGGAATTRGCTTCCACTAAATTAGATTCTGTTAATTTTAAGTCCACTAAAACACTCCCAAGTGTAAAACCTTTATTTTTATACAGTTTATCCTAAATTAAATAAAAACTATCCTCTCTTACAAGGAATGCTGGGTGTGTCAGGCACCGTGCGTTAGCATGTGGCATCTTTAGCAGCTAAACTTCAAACTACAGGCAAAAATATTTAAAAATGTTCAAATAATGAATACAAAAATTAACTGCGTATAAAATAGGGTCGAGGAAGGATTTGGTATTKGTTCAACTTACTAAACGTATTTATAGAAAATCAAACTCGATAAAAAAATGTCTTTATTCTGAAAAGTATCACAAGTTAGACAGAGCTCTAACTCTAGTTTGGATTGGCAGATTTGCCACAGATGATCCCGCCCACCTTCAAATTAAACGAATAGAAAACAGAGGATAGCGTTAACTTCACCTAATTATTTTTTATCTGTTTAGCGTCAGCAGAACTAAAATGACTGTTYAGTAATTTAGTGAAGCTAACTTTATAGTTAGCTAACAGAGCTAAACAAAAAAAAAACAGAGCTAACTGAATTTT